CGCCATCTCTAGAGCTTTCTAAACTGGGTTTCTTTCCCACTTCGGATCCGTTTCGCATGAAGATGGGCTAGAAGCAACTCTAAACCGCAGACAAGCTTAAAAGTAAGACAAAGTCTCAAATTCCACCTTCATCAAAGTGACTCATTACAAATGGGAACGTTCCTTTTCCACGAGATACCTGCTTCCAGGATATCGGAAGTCGTGACACATATGTTTTGGCTACTCGTTTGCCCGGCAATTCATACATTCCTAGGTGGGTGGGTATTCTATACAGATGGATATCACGTGTACGAGATTGCAGATGCAACGGTCATTATGCATCATCGGGAGGGATTTCTTTGTGTTTCTAATTGTGTATGTTTTTGTGGGTGAAGCTTAAGCTTCGAAAATGGAATGTGTGCACGACATTTGGAAGGAAGGGGTATGAGCATTAGATACAGATCACTTGAACCCTTATAGGCGATTTGCTTGGATATGAATGTACCTGTGACGTTGAATTTTGAGGTTATGATCTCTCGAAATCCGTTTTTGACTCTGTCAATTCTATTGAACGTAAGCTGAGGTCAAATAAAAAAAGAAACCCGTTGAATACAATATGACATAGTTTTTTGTGTAAAGAATCCGAAACTGTGAGATGGTTCAGCTTGTTTAAAATGTGATATGTCAAGCTTCACTAGGTGGACGATAAGCTCTTATCGCTCTGACCTAGTGTCCGATAAGATCTATCATAACCGCGTACAAGCGCATATCGCGTCTAAATTTCCTCAATTTGCACACAAGCTGTCGCAAGCTGTTGAACAACCATTCCAAGACAATCCTATCATTCAGTCAATATGACGAGTCTCAAACGATTTATGGGATCGGATCCCTACTCCTCCAACCTATCGAGTAAAGTCTATGTACGATCTACCAAAAGTGGCAAAGTTCAGAAGATTGTTCGTGAATTATATCTTCGACAAGATATTCCTTGCTCATCCAAACTTTGCGACAGCTGCCTCAAGACTGCGCCACCAGATGCGAGTGGTGTTAGTAAGTTTGATCTCGATAATACGTATGATACATGTGCATGACAGAAGACTTACTTTGATGCAGTACCACCATTCGTTCTATCGGAAACCCCTGCGGGAACAGCAGCATACCCTCAGGGACATTACCTGGTACCCGATACCAATGCGTTATTAAACGCCCTCGATCTTTTTGAACAGGCTTCGGCCTTTTACGATGTCATCATCTTACAGACTGTGCTTGAGGAACTGCGGAATAGATCATTGCCGCTTTACAATCGGTTGATTGGGCTTACAAAGAGCGAGGATAAACGATTTCATGTTTTCTTTAATGATTTTCGTCTGGAGACTTATGTGGTCCGGGAGACTGGAGAAAGTATAAATGATAGAAATGATAGAGCGGTTCGACGCGCGGTCAAATGGTACGATGAACATATCACACAAGCAGTAAAGGCTTCGGGAGGACGTTCGAAAAAGATACCTGCTGTTGTAATGCTTAGTGATGATAAGGAGAATCTCAGAAAAGCAAAGCGTGATGGTATTCAAGCATGCTCTCTTCGGGAATATGTTAGTGGATTGGAGGATGCAGATCGATTACTGGACATGATCAGTGCAGCACAAGAAGACAAAGAAGCCCGAGATGCTAGAACTTCTGGAAACCTATACCAGGAATATTACTCAGTGTCGAAAATGATGACTGGTGTAAAGAACGGCACGTTACATCAGGGTATTTTCAATGTTTCACCATACAACTATTTAGAGGGATCTGTAAATGTCCCCGCTTTCGACAAATCATTACTTGTTCTTGGCAGAGAGAATATAAATAGATCTGTTCAGGGTGATGTTGTTGTTATCGAAGTATTACCAAAAGACCAATGGAAAGAGCCTTCTACAAAAATCATCGAAGAAGAAACCTTAAACAAGGATGAAAACGCCGATGCTGATGAGGGAGAAGCTGTCGTTACCGAGAAGGAAAGACGTGCGCTGCAGGAAGAAGTGAAGAAGACCCACAGCAAGGGTACGGAAAATCGTCCTCAGCCAACTGCTAGAGTGGTTGGTGTCGTAAAGCGTAATTGGAGACAATATGTCGGTCATGTGGACGAATCATCTGTTAGTCAGTCGGTGAAACAGGGTCGCAAGCAACAAACTGTATTCCTCATTCCTATGGACAAGAGGATACCGAAAATTCGTGTTAGAACGCGACAAGCGGGTGAGATATTAGGAAAGCGAGTTTTAGTCACCATCGACTCGTGGGATAGAGATTCGAGATATCCGGTTGGTCATTTTGTTCGTTCTCTCGGCGAACTGGAAACAAAAGGTGCCGAGACAGAGGCTTTACTTCTGGAATACGACGTACAATATAGACCATTCCCGAAAACAGTCTTAGACTGTTTACCCGCAGAAGGTCATGATTGGATTGTACCTCCAAGTATGGACGATCCTGGATGGAAAAACAGACGCGATCTTAGAGGTCTTAACATTTGCAGTATCGATCCAATAGGTTGTCAGGATATTGATGATGCATTGCATGCGAGACCTCTGCCCAATGGCAATTACGAAGTGGGTGTGCATATTGCAGATGTCTCACATTTCGTCAAGCCAAATAATGCAATGGATGCAGAAGCGAGTATACGAGGGACCACCGTTTATTTAGTAGATAAGCGAATTGACATGTTACCGATGTTACTTGGGACGGATTTGTGTTCTCTTAAACCATACGTCGAGAGATATGCATTTTCATGTTTGTGGGAAATCACACCGGATGCCGAGATTGTTAATTCAGAGTATACAAAATCTGTTATTAAATCACGAGAAGCATTTAGTTACGAAGATGCTCAGAAGCGTGTTGATGACGCGTCGGCTCAAGATGAACTTACTACCAACATTCGTACTCTTCTTATGTTGTCTAAGAAATTCAAGCAGAAGCGTATGGATGCTGGAGCTTTGAGTCTCTCGTCACCAGAAGTTAAAGTGGAGATGGAATCTGAGACTTCGGATCCAATAGATATCAAACAGAAAAAGCATCTCGACACTATGTCATTGGTCGAAGAATTTATGCTTCTCGCCAACACTAGTGTAGCAGCGAAGATTTATTCCGCCTTCCCTCAAACAGCCATGCTTCGTCGTCACGCAGCTCCTCCAAAGACAAACTTTGAAGAACTTGCCAACCAACTCAAAGTCAAGCGTGGCCTTGAACTTAAGGTTGGGTCATCAAGAGAACTTGCCGACACCCTTGATGGATGCGTTGATCCCGAAGAACCTTTCTTCAATACCCTGGTCCGTATTATGGCAACTCGTTGCATGATGTCTGCAGAATATTTCTGTTCTGGCACACAAGCATACCCCGAGTTCCGCCATTATGGTCTCGCATCTGAGATCTATACTCACTTTACATCTCCCATTCGTCGTTATGCAGATCTTGTCGCTCATCGTCAACTGGCTGCGGCAATCGATTATGAGCCCCTTGCTGCTAGTTTCCGCAGTAAGGGAAAACTCGAAGGTGTTTGCAAGAACATCAACGTTCGTCATCGCAATGCTCAACAAGCTGGTCGTGCTTCCATCGAATACTATGTTGGTCAAGCACTCAAGGGTCGTATTGTCGAGGAAGAAGGTTTCGTCATGAAGGTTTTCAGTAATGGATTTGTAGTCTTTATACCCAGATTTGGTATCGAGTCACTTATTCGTTTGAGAGATTTGGCGGAACCAGAACCAGAGGGTGATTTTGATGCGGAGAATTATGTTTTACAAACGAAGGGAAGTAGAGAGGTTAGAATAGAATTGTTTGGAAAGGTGACGGTGAGGATTAGTGATGTTAAGGAGGAGAGTACGGGGAAGAGAAAGATTAAGGCGGAGTTGGTGGAAGTGATTGAGGGGAAGAACTAAATTCGTGAATGATGGGGAGATTTGGGGGATAATTCAAAGAAGGGTTGTATTGCAATGGATTAAAAGAACTGGTATATTGGGGTTTGATACCTACGTGTATGATTGAGTAGAGATATCAATTTGAAGAGTTCTTTTACGCAGAGGATTTAGAGAGTTGTGTTTCATTGACGATGAACATGGAAATATTGTAATTGTGACGTCTCTTCTATTGCTAGGTATCTAAGGTTAATACCTAGACTTGACTTGATAATGGATCATTCTCATTACCATTGCTCTCATATGATATCTATACTCATTCATTAATGTTCAAGTCGGGTCTAGGTAATTATCAGATACATTATCGGAATTGCACCAATGAATTCATAAGTCGGGTTTTTGGTGTGTCCTGTTAGTCAGTATACCCACTGGTGTGCGAATCGATTGAATGTGACTCGTTGTTCAGTCACTTCAGTGTAAGTTTGATGATATTATTTTGTGAATGTGAGATTTTTTTTCTAGTCTGGAGATGGAAAAGAAGGGTTTGGGGTAGGTCTTGAGGGATGGGAGGCTGCGGGTTTAGTGTTTGTGGGAAGTTGGTGAATGAGTTGTAGTTGATTTTGGTCGTTTGGATAGTATGGTAGTTTGATGGCACCGGGTGAGAGATGTGCGAGATGTTCAGAGGAAGTCTAGTTTGCTTCGAAGTGTGCAATCTACTAAGAAATATGGTCCGAAAGGATTGGAAATCATAGCTACGTTTCTGTCAGCGTGACCTCGGTAGGGAAGCGGATGTCTGGGTCGATTTTCATCTCAACGATCAGCTATATGCGAGTACTCCCGTCATTCACCTCTTCTATTCTGGGCTAATTTCCTTTGTGTTTTCTGGTATGCCCCGCTTTATACGCTTGGTACATGGGCTGTTAATGGGGGGACATAGCGGGTTAAGTTGGTATATTGGAATTGCTTGCGCCGCAATGCAACATATAATTCCAACACGTACAACAGCAACAGTTGTCCCCTCTCTATAATTAAATAGGTAGAGTTGTTCCTTTGTCTCTTCGAGTATTTCGAGAACAACAGGCACTTGGTTCTTACTTCTTTTTTACCTCATTCTCACTTCTCGTTATCAATACGAAAATGGCATCCTTTGATATCAATATAACCGGCGACGATGTGCTGAAGCACTTTTCAAAGTATGCCGAGGGCAGAACATGTTCGTTATCCTCCTACAATCATTCTACTTCCTCACAAATCCAGCTAACAAACATAACTACTTGTCATAACCGGTCCAAGTGAAAACGGCATCGGTGCCGAATCTGCAATCACTCTCGCATCTGCATACCCCAAGGAAATCATTCTTGTAGTTCGAACTGAAAGTAAAGTTATTTCAGTAATCGAAGCCATCAGAAAGATCAATCCAGATATTGAAGTCTCATTTGTTGAAATCGATCTTCTCAATAACAAGAGCGTTCGACAAGCAGTAGAGAAGATAAAGAACTTGACAGATAAGATTCATGTTCTTATTAATAATGCTGGTGTGATAGCTGTGAAACACTTTGTTACGTCTATAGATGGGGTTTAAGCCAATTTGCGGCTAATTATCTGGGTCATTTTTTCTTACCAGTCTTTTGGCTAAGGAAATCATAGCTGCGGCTAGTGAAGGCGCAAGAATAGTACAGGTTGGTATTTTAGGATATCAGCTTGGAGAAACTAATATTGAGGACATCAATTTTAAGGTTCGTTGATGACTGCTATTTCACGCTTGCAAATATATCTGGTTGATGTGAAAATAACTTCATTTTGCTAGGATGGAAAAATATACAATCCTAGGATTGCATACGGACAAGCAAAAACTGCTATGCTACTTTTCAATCTCGCTCTTGACAAACGATTGAAGCAGAAAGGAGTTACGGCATTAATATGCCATCCCGGTGGTACGTCAATTCCCGCACTGTGTTAGTACTTTACTAACAATTTGTTTGAGTAACCCTGGAGAGCATGTTATTGGTTAATTCAAATGTAGACAACGAATCGTTTGCAGATGCATTGGTACTGGTGATGGAACGCAACGATGGTAAGTTTTCTCGCGCTTCTTGATTTATGTATGTAACAGCAAAGCTAATTGTATATCGGGAAACCCTCTTCTCCCGCAAAACATGGTGATTTTGAAACAGGCAGCAGGAGTAGTGCTTTTCACGGCTTTGAATCCCTCTTTGGCAGGTATGAAAATCCCAATCCTAAAAGTGTGCACCCACTAACCTTTGGAAACTTACAGAGGCTGCACCAGCATTCATCGTTGGGAATGAAACTTACACAGAGACGAAGGATCATGCTCTCAATCAGGAGATAGCCAAGGGCTTGTGGAAGCTCAGCGAGAAGCCTGTCGGTGAGACATTTGTTTACTGAACTAGAGCGCTGAATGATGAGATTTGGATATTGAATTTGCTTGATGATCTGTAGGATAATGCTAGGATGGATGTATCAGATTCGTAATTAGAATGAATCAACTTGTGAAGTATTACAATATGAAAGTTTTCTTGCTTAACGTAGTTGCTCTATCTCAAGTAGTAGTTGTTCATCTCATAATCTTATCGATGATGATGAGTTCATGGTTGATATTCACTCAACTCTAGACACATCACATTGTAGAATCTGATCTTTCAGACTCTTTTTTTGGGTGTCCTGGTTTATATCTTCAAGTCCAAGTCAATACTCGGACTAGATGGAAGCTACAGATCGACTGTCCCTCATTTACTAACCTGAGATAAATAACATTTGCTCGAGAGCCGATACTAGATTAGAAATTGTGCGAAAGAAAACTCCCATCTACTTTTTGAATGATCATAAAATGGAGTCTGTATTTTGACATTGTTATGATGTTCAACATATGTACCACTGAAAGGTAGAATTTCCACTTAAGTTTGCCGTCTCAAAGCAGTGGAATGGTCGGAGTAGTTTATAAGTTTTTACACTAACATGAATTTTGATTTAATTCTCGATTTATTTTGAACAATAAAAGAATCTTGAGAAATGAAGCTTTCTTGAACAATGAACTCTTTTAAAGAATAAAACTTCTCTAAAAACCAAGTCTTGTTCAAATAATGAAACTATATCGAATAATAGAGCTGTTTTAAAAGATCAACGTATATTGAATAACAGAACCATTTTCAATAATACAATCGACTCAAACAATAGAACTATCTTAAATGATGGAATCATCTTGAATAATAAGAATATCTTAAATGATAGAACTTTCTCAAATAATGAATCTATGTTGAACAATAAAACTATCTTAAATACCAGATTTATCCTCGTATAATCATCTTTCAATCCAAACTTATTCATCCTCCACTGATTCGTTCCTAGAACATCATAATTTGATCATCGACCCATCATGGTCTGACACCTTAGTCCAGCTAGATGAAGGTATCTTTGAGTAGTCCTTTATTCATCTTGTTCATAGGGAGTAGAAATATCTTTTTTACGCTTATATTGAAAGGACTAATCCTTGAGAAACATACCAAAATCTTCTTAAAGTCATTTCATTTTGAGTCGACTGGTCTGAGGCTAACTTTTAGGGGGGTTGTTGAGCCTAGATAACGGTTTTCAAGTAAGTAGTGAGGTTAATACCAAAACTGTGAACCGGGTTTTTCCTACATTGAACTTGGAAACAGAGTCTTTTCAACAGGTATCGGTGTATTAAGGTGTAAAGACAGTCATAATATTACATGAAATGTCTCTCAGTCATTGATTATTGTGGCTCTAAGGGCTCTTGAGGATGACTACAATCTCCGATTCCAAAGAATTGTAGCATACTGGAGAAGGGTGATTGGATGTTATCCACAGGAGAACTTCGCACATGAAAGTGATAAACTGAATGACCTTTGTGGAATTACTCAAAAAACTAGAGATAGCGAGTGACTTATACAATGCGTTCAAGGTCTTTGTCTGGCGGAGATGTGTTATTTGATGCAAAATATGATGGGATCTCGCTTTGACTACAAGCCACCGGACTGAAATACATTCCTGGCTATCCCGGGTCGACATCTACAGCTTGAGGACTACAACGAGGTTTTGCCTTAATCTCGAGGAAATCCCGATGAACATACAAGAAGGTGGGTATTTTGGGATGAGCTACACTTGCTTTTACGCGAATCAGGTGCTGGGTAATAGGAACGATATAATGAAGAGTGATGTCTAAGTGATTGAACAATGCTTTTGTTAGGAACGTAGAAAATGAAGGGTAGGAGTCAAAGGGTTGTGGTGTACGTCGGTTCTAAATAGACTGCGGAGACCCTAGAGTGAAAAGAGAATAGCAAAACTGGAGTCTAAGGTTACCGAGTTTATTTAAATCTGTATTGACGGACATTGTATTCTCAAGCTGAGAGATAGTCAGATACCTCACTTGAGCATTTGAACATATTCCCAGCGCAAAAGACAATTTGCGTTCAATATGGGAATTATTTCTGTTGCGAGGCCAAATGTATTAGTATAGAAACAACCTCCCTCGCTTACCCCACAAAACTCAATTACTCGCTACCAAAAATAGGTACAACACTTCGAACACTGATAGATATACCCAAGAGATGCAAAAATTCAATCAAATTGTTTCTGGAGCGGCAGAGGATCGAACTCTGGACTTCATCGATTCTTAACTTATCAAGAACGCCAAGGAAATCTTGATAATGCAAACGAGGCACTCTACCACTGAGTTACGGCCCCTATCCTAATTAATGCGAATTTATGCTTTTCTAGGTATATAATCAGCACGTGATGATAAGCGACCCACTGAGCCCTATTGAGCCAAATTCCGCACATTCCGTTCCGAAGCTTAACCGGCACTGGCATCATTCAATATTATATCGATATGTCAGATTCCAATTTTATCTCAACAATAACCACGTTGACGATATCATAATGATAATCAGGCATAGATTGACCATTTTACTCTGCATCGCAGTACTTGGACTTTTGAGTGCTGCAAATGCAAGTGCTGGTGATCGATTGCCTGAATTCAAACAATGTGTTGAGGTATGAATTTCCCTGGAGCTAGCATTGGGTTTGTTTACTTTGAACTAAATACTAGTAAATATTTAGGTCTGTCAACGAGAGAATTGCGACAATGAAGTCGGAGGTGGTACGAAAATTCGTATGTCAAATACTCCTTCTTATAACTACTACTCTGGTTTGTACATAGGAAATAACAAAATGTCACAGCACTCCACCATCGACTTCTCCTCTGGACTTGCCCGGCAGAATGCGATTATACCTGCCAGCATATAATTACCGACTTGCGCGTTAAATCTTCACAACCTATTGTTCAATTCCATGGAAAATGGCCGTTCTATCGTTTCCTCGGCATGCAGGAGCCCTTCTCCGTCCTCTTTTCTCTCTTCAACTTTATGGCGCATCACAACGGACTTGCAAGAGTGACTACTCAAATTCCAGAGGATTACAGTATGCGGAAATACTATGTCATGCTGTCATATGCGGGAATGATGAGTTGGGTGGCTAGTATGGTGTTTCATACAAGAGATTTCGCTTTCACAGAACAAATGGATTATTTTGCGGCAGGAGGAAGTGTTTTGTACGGCATGTACTATACTCTAATTCGAATCTTCCGTATGGATCGTGGTGGAAAACGCACAAAGTCTATGTTACGTGCCTGGACTCTTCTATGTATTCTCTGCTATATCGCACATGTTGTGTATTTGAAGTGGTGGGATTGGGATTATACATATAACATGGCTGCAAATGTTGTGGTAGGAGTATTACAAAATTCTCTGTGGAGTTGGTTTTCATTTGAGAAATACAGAAAGAGTAAGAGGGCATGGACAACATGGCCAGGACTGGTAGTTGCATGGATTTTCATGGCAATGAGTTTGGAGTTGGTGGATTTCCCACCTTGGTTGGGATGTTTGGATGCACATAGTTTGTGGCATTTGGGGACGGTCGCTCCAACTATGATTTTCTATAGGTATGTTTTCCACAATTCTTCTGTGCTGTGATATGGTGCGGTCAGAGAGAAATACTAATCTAGGTATAGTTTCTTGATCAGGGATGCTCAAGACGATATAGCTGGACAAAGATTAAAGGCTTAGACTATACATGAAGTGAGGTGGGCAATCATGGAATGGCTGGGAGGGGGTTGAGAAAGAGGTTTAATGTCGAAATAATAATACTGGAACATATCTGAGATCTTTTCCCTACAGACGCGGGAGCTAGATTGACGCTAGAAGCAGGGCCATAGGCGTCGGTGAGTCGTCACCCGTGTGGCGGTGAGGTTATGGTAGCAACATTGCGAATTTTCAAATCTCCGTATTGTTCTGCATAAAAGACATCCTGAATCATGCTAGCTTCTTCGCAAATGGTAGCATAGACTTGAGTTCATCCGGGTGCCAAAATGTGAATGTTCAGAGCGGTATTTCAAAAATGATCGTCCAGAGTTGTTGGATGGAACAATAGGGGTTCAACGTTGAAGATTGACCTGAAGATCGAAACTCGATGTCTCAGGCTGAACAGCAAACCGGAATCTTAACGTTCAGGACTAGATGGAACAATGGAGGAAGGGTAAATATTCAAATCGAAATGGACAATCAAAGCCTCAATCCCCTTGGATATGATCCCCAAATTTTCGTCGCGTATCCAGAAAACTAGATATATTCTGAATATCCGTACTGAAGCTGTGTTTTTTTTTTTACATATACAACAGAGATATCTAGAAGGTCTTATTTCTTCAGTGATATCGGGTTGAGTTCAGATGGGATATGACTTTTCAAAGTGAGCCAGACCGAAAGAGGCGGAGATACCAAGTAGAAAACTTCATGTGAAGAAGCAAAGCCATTTTCCTTGAGTGCAGTAGGGAGGGTAATGCAATCGATCCGTTTGCAGATAATAAGGAATCACATTTCACCAATACTTCAAAGTTCACGGATGTATTCGTATAGCAAAGAGTATGTTGTAAATGAGTCTTCTATTTCAGCGAAGCACTATACAAACATCACATAGACGAGCAGACAAGACAAGACAAACAGACAGACAGAAAGTAAAGAACCCTTTCCCCATCAATCCATCCATGCCTGTCCATCCACCCATATCCAATCCTCCCTTCTCAAGATATCCACGCCGTTCCTGCCTCCCCAGAAACGCCATCACATCCCCAACATCAAATAAAAGAGATTAACAATGATTTTTCAGTGAGAAAAAAGATTTCTCTGCTGAGACTCATCGAAAAGACTTTGCCAAAATGTATCCTGCTTTTGGGGGTATATCTTCCTTCCCTAATCCTTCCCTCTTTTCCCCATTCCATTCCATTCCTCCCCGCCTCTTCAAATCCACATTCCTTCTCCTGCCTCTCCCCTATATATCATGAACATTAACAAAAACGACGCGACACCCGTATCCTC